TTTTTTTTTTTTTTTTTTTTTTTTTTTTTTTTTTTTTTTTAATTTTTAATATTCGATTATGAGTCCACCCATTGGCGCTCTGTGTGGAATCCCTTTTCTTCGTTTGGCCGTTCTGTAACTAACCAAAGTTGGTGGTGGCGTTGATGGCGTGAAGCTCTGCAGCACCACTCTGTTCTTGTTTCTGCTGCTGCTGTACGACGAAGAATCCTCTGAATCTGATCCCATTGCCGGCCGTTTCTTCACGAATTTCTTCGATATTCCCACAATCTGGAAGAAACCCAGATATCAATTTCTCGAAATCAACGCTATCTCAACAATAAGGCATTGATATGAACTAAGTTTACCTTGCAACCCAGAGAGCAGAATCGGAAAGAATCGAGAAGGCTGCGCTCGCAGACCTCACAGGTGTTCGTCACGCCTTTGCCTGGCCTTGGCTGTGGCCGTTCGTTCAAGAACACGACCCGCGCGCTGTTGATAATGTAGGTTTGAACGCCGGTAATGTCGAGAACTTTCTGAATCTCTGATACCCTTATGACATCGTGGTACGATGACCTCCTAATCTGCGCCAAACAGCCAAAATCATAAAATCAGAGCCAGAATCATAAAACAGAGCAAACCCAGAAAACCCAGTTTGTAATCTAAATTATAATGGGATTATGAATGTTCTTGAAGGGGAAATCCCACAAGTTATTTCCCATAAAGGTAAATTTAGAGTTTCCAAACGAACCTGAATGGCGTGATGATCTTTGTGATAAAACAGAGCCAGAATCATAAAACAGAGCAAACAGAGCAAACAGAGCAAACCCAGAAAACCCAGTTTTCGTAATCTAAATTGGTGGAGTAATGGGTTTGTTACGAGTGTTCTTAAGGGGAAATCGCACGAGTTCTTACCCAGAAAGGGAAATTTAGAGTTTCGAAACGAACCTGAATGGCGCGATGATCTTTGTGATAAGCAAGGCAGAGAGAACAGAGAGCGCCGTTCATACAATCCAAACAATACATATTACATTCACTCTTATGGGAATCGGCATGAAACTTGCATTGAACGAAGAAGCTTTCACGGAGCAAAGGTTTCAGCCATGGCGGCCATCGGTTATCTTCCTCCTCAAGAACTCCAGCGCCCTGTTTTAACAGAATCCGCCATTGAAATACAAAGAAACCCAGATTGAGAAAAGAACATAAACCCAAAATCATACCATGATTCTTCTGTTCTTGGGGTCGATTGAATGACGAAGAAGAACAGTGTTCGTGATTTTAGAGAATGGAAGGGAGAGAGGGAAGTGGTTCTTATCTGCGAAAAAAGTCTAAGCCGAAGCAAAAGGGGAAAGATGCGTTGGCCATAAGGAACTCTTCTCCTTCTTTCCTTTATAAATTTGCTTTCATTTTCTTCTTTGCTTCGGTCTTATCGCATATTTTTCTATTCCAACATTATTATTGTATTTTAATTTTTAATTAATTCGCCATTAACACGTATTTTCAACCATTCACTACTTTATTTCGCATCATTAATTACATACTTTGAATTTTCCATCTATTAACTCGAGTAAATGAGAGGTATATCAATAAATTTAAACTATATTTAAATAGAAATGCTACCCGATCTAAGTTAATGAATGTTGGGAATATCTCGATATTATAAATGACACGTGGGCCTGTTCTCGATGGTATAATTAAGTGAGTTATGATGAGCGACGACACCCGCGATTTGGGATTGCGTCAAGACATGTGGATCATGTTAATTGGAAACCAAGATGACATGATGAGATGCGGCATTGCGTTGAGAGGCCTTAGCCCTGAATAGAGGTAAGATCGAGCCGGATGATTTGGTTTATGTAGAGGTAAGTTGGTCGTGTCGCATATGATTAAACATACATGCGCAAGCAACTGTGTGGTCGAACAAGTTTAGATTTCACACAAGTTTTGTTCAGTGGAGGAAGACAAACCTCGCCTAATGTCCGACCAAGCTAGTGTTCAGTGGAGGAAGACAAACTTAGCCTAATGTCCGACAAAGCTATAAAATCGGACGAAAATTAGGTATGGGGTTTGGGTTCTGTTGGAATATGAAGCATGATGAAAGATAGATATAGAGCGTGATGGAAGATATTTGGTAAAAATCTGATAGAGATATATATGGCAAAATCTCTATATTCGTCTTGTATTTTCTCTTTTTGTCCTTTGTGTTCATTTTGACTGAGTATGTGATCCTAACAATTGATATCAGAGCTAACAACTGGTATCAATCCTAATAGGTTCTTCTCAAGGTTGGTTGTGAGTGTGTCAAGATCACTACGCCCCACAATTGAAAAAGTACTATGTGGACCGTTCCTCTACTTGAATCAATTCTATATTAGGTAACCTCTTAGAAATTTTAGTGAACACAAAACATCGTGAAAAGACCAGTCGACATTCACTTTTAGAAGCAGCAAGTACATAACGATATTATGTCGTAGTAAATCGTAGACAACGGGTAAAATTGAATCGAAGGTAATAGTTGGAGTTTATAACACGACTTAAAACGGAGTTAATAATAATAATAAAAAAAATGCTAGAAATATAATTACCAAAACCCTTATTTTCATGTCAAGTTAAATAATAAAAAATCAAATATTTATTTTTGTTAGAATTATTTTCTCCCATATTTTATTGATTCAAAGTTGTGGTCTTGTTCAATATTAGGACTTTATTTTTGGAAGTATATATTTGTATTTATTCTTCTAAATAAAAATAAAAAATAAAAAAAATAATTTATTAAATATTTTTTGGTCAAATAAGCAACCAACAATTTCATTTTCTTTTACTTTATAAAAGTCTCAATCCCATCATCAACTAATGTTTAATTATGAATGGCAATTTAATTAGAGACATGTTTATACCATAATTTTACAAGTTTTAGCTTTAATTTATCACTAAATTAACATTAAAATTGTCCTAATTCATAAAATTATTTGACCAGAAAATTCGATCACCCCAACCCATTACATACCATTTTGGTTAAATTCTGAACTTATTTAGACTTTTATGAATTGGTTGGTTCGTGTGTTCTATTTAAACTAGATTAGGTTAAAACAAATTTATTGTTAATTTTAAAAAATACATTTTTAATTATGATACAATTATACATGTTAGATGAACACGACTCTCCACAATGGTATGATATTGTCTATATTAAGCATAAGCTCTCATAACTTTGTTTTAGGCCGACGGAGAGTATTCCTGGATTATAAACCCATAATCATTCTCTAAATTAGCAGAAGATTTTCATCCAACAATACATACATATATTTATTTTGTTTTTATTTTATATATATATATATATATATATATATATATATATATTTGTTATTTAATCTCCACCCACTCTTAAAAATAATTTTTACCTATTTAAAAATTAATATTTCAAGATATATATTCAAATTAAGTGGTAAATAATCTAATATTTTACTTTTAGTAAAAACAAAAATTTGAATAAATTACCGAACATCCCGAAACAAATCATCCCAAAAATGTATGATTAGGCTAGATTGGGTTGAAAAAAAAAAAAGATAACTCGAATAAATGAGTTTAATCTATAAAAATGTATCAATCCGACCCAACTAAATCCAGGAACATCCTTAAAACTTGTTCCACTGTTTGATTAAGTGAAATAATAATTTAAAGAAATATATATAACCTATTTGGATTATGGATTAGGTCATAACTTTAAAATGGAATTAGAATAATCAAGAAATTGACAAAAGCATTCCAACAAGTTTATTTTTTATTTTTTATTTTAATTCTACACAATAAAATGATGTGTTTGGTAATTATTTAATTGTTTGATTTTATCATATTTTCCTCGGCCCAATTCTAAAAATAAAAATAAATTTTATTATTTCTTTTTCGATTTAACATAAAGAAATTAATAAATATGAAGTATTTATAACTTTAATCTTTTTAAAAATAAGTTATTAATCGACGGTAAAGTAAAGTTTTTAATAAAAATATTACCTTTTAAACCTTTTCGAATAAGTTTAAATTAAAAACGTGCAAAAGAGAGGCGTTAGGCCTGAATTTGGATAGGACACAAGCCTAAATCCGAATTTAAAGGACACTAAGATGAAGGCAAAGGATCGTCAAGGTTGACCCTCGTCTAACACACATTCCCGAAGCAATCTTACTTAAGCCTGGTTTTACAATGACTCGAACTTAATACAAACTTAAACTTCAAGGGTACGGGACCAAGCATCATACATTGACATATGGCATTGGCAGTTGAAAGAATTAGGCAACCCACATTGAAGAACGACAGACAAACATTAGGAGTCAACTTCTTGAATGTTTTTGTCTTAAAAGTTGGTACTTACGTGGTGCATTATTGTTGGATTTTGGACCATTTTTTTTTTCTCAAAAGGACGAAATTAATATTTTCAAAATATTAAATACTAAATTAAAAAATGACTCAGGAATTAAAAAATATATATATATAATAAAAAAAATTATTTGTAAATGTCTTAATTAAGAAGAGTAAGTAACGTAACCCTATCGTAGAAGATAATTTTAATTAATTAATTAATTATTATTATTTTATTACGAAAAGGACCAGATTTGAAAGGAGTGACAGAAGGATTAAAAAATAATATAAATTTGAATTATGACGACATTATTTGTCAACAATCCTATACCACAACCAAGAAAGAAAAGAAATTAAATAATTTTAATAAAAAAAACAATAATTACTTTGTTGATTTGGTTACAAATTAATCAATGTCTTTAAATAGTTCTATTTTCATTACAAAAATAATTCTTTTTATTATTTCAACCCATCTTTTTCAAACTCTAATAGCTTGATCTAATGAGCCCTAGTTTTATCGAAAATAAGTTCATAGTATAATGGTGACATTATCAGCTACTTAAATTAGTCATTGTTCTCGATGACTTTCTTGAGAGCACAATCGCTCTACAGATTGTGACATCAGACATGACTAATAACGCTCGTGTGAACATGTTTTAACGTGTGGACTTTTCATTGTCTTAGTTATTTAGGCCCGTATGTGGGTCTAAACTCCAGTAAATAAGTCGTCTTTTTTTTTTTTTGAATTATTAAAAAAAATTAATAATATTTTTTTATTAATTTTAAATAACTTCTTGAAAATTCAAAAGATAAATTTAAAATAATTTTTTTTTAAAAAGATGTTCATGATTAAATAATATTCAAACATCAAAAGCATCGTGGAAAATCAACTTTTTCTTTTAGTCCTATTAAAAAAAAGTAATTTAAAAATGTAATGATTAATAATTATGTTCTCTTCATATAATAATATTTGTTAGGCATTAAATTATGCTAATTGTGCGTGAAACGAGTCCCTCTCTACAACGATAATGATCGACTATGTAGCTATTCATGACACGAGTTTTTACGTATATATGAGATCCCGCATAAGTTGAAGAGTGCAACAAAGTATTCTTTATATAAAAGTGTAGAAACATCTCATAGTAGACACATTTTAAACAATATTTGTTAGTGGTGAGCTCGAGTTGTTACAAATGGCATTAGAGTCAGACACTGAATGATGTGCTAGCGAGAACGCTGGGCCTCAAAAGAGAGTTGGGAAGTAAGTGGGTAGACTTTGTGGCCACCAACGACAAAACAAGTTGACCCAATTTTGTTTGTCGCATATTATAATAATCATAAATAAATAAATAAAGTATATGTTTTTTTTTTTAATAATTTTAATTAATGACTTACATTTGTATGGTGGATGGGTAATTGATTTGAGAGATATTTGCTAAAAATCAGTAAAGCCATATCATTATCTTTGCCCAATCCATGTCTAGATAATGTTTTTTTGGTCTTCTAATTTCTTCATTTATATTTATATATTTTTATTTTTTTTATTCCCAAAAGGATAAGGATACCTATATTCCATCTTTTCTTTTAATTATTGAACTTCTAAATTATAATTTATATTCTTCTAAATTATTAGCATAAAGTATTCATATGAAGTATTTCAATTAAATATTATCATTTTAAGGGATGTAATAAAAAAAAAAGTATTCTTTAGTTGATTAAAATAGAGGTAACAAGGACAACTAGAAGATAGAGATGCAACTGTAGAGCGGTTAATAAGGGTCATGAGTAGAACAATGAGCTAAGAGAGATGGGTGTGTCGTGTGTCAGCCTCGAAACTTAATGCCCGTCCGGATATTTAGGTTAGGTATAAAAAATGTCCCAACTCGACTTAACCCAATACAAGATATTTAGATTGAGCTAGTTTAGATTGTTCGGGTAGGTTGAACGATAACAAATCTGCCAATCAAATTGAGAATGGGCCTTGATGAAAGCCCAATTACAATTTTGGGCATGTAGAAAACGAAGCCCAGCATTGATTGAGAATGGGCCTTGACGAAAGCCCAATTGTAATTTCGGCTTTAGCCGAAACCAGCATTGATTGATAATGGGCCTTGACGAAAGCCCAATTGTAATTTTAGGCTGTAGAAAACCAAACCCAGCCTTGTTTGAGAGTGGGCCTCGATGAAAGCCCAATAATAATTTTGGGCTTGTAGAAAACGAGACCCAGTATTGATCGAAATGGGCCTGAACAAAAACCCAATTATGTTTTTGGGCTTGTAAAAACCAAACCCAGCGTTGTTTGAGAATGGGCCTTGATGAAAGAACAATTATAATTTTGGGCTTGTAGAAAATGAAACCCAAGGTTGATTGAGAATGGGCCTTGATGAAAGCCCAATTAAAATTTGGGCTTGTTGAAAACCGAACCCAGTATTGATTTATAATGGGCCTTGATGAGAGCCCAATATTAATTTTGGGCTTGTAGAAAACGAGATCAGTATTGATTGAGAATGGGCCTGATAAAAGCCCAATGATAATTTTGGGCTTGTAGGAAACCAAACCCAGCATTGTTTGAGAAGTTGCCTTGATGAAAGCCCAATTCTAATTTTGGGCTTGTAGAAAACGAAACAGTATTGATTGAGAGTGGGCCTTTTGTTGAAAGCCCAATTGTAATTTTGGGCTTGTAGAAAACAAAACCCAGCATTTATTGAGAATGGGCCTTGATGAAAGCCCAATTTTATTTTTGGGCTTGTAGAAAACGAGACCCAGCATCGATTGATAATGGGCCTGGATAAAAACCCAATTATAATTTTGGGCTTGTAGAAAACGAAACCCAGCATTGATTGAGAATGGGCCTTGCTGAAAGCCCAAATATAATTTTGGGCTTTTTGAAAACCAAACCCAGCATTTATTAATAATGGGCCTTGATTGAGCCCAATTATATTTTTGAGCTTGTTGAAAACCAAACCCAGCATTTATCGATAATGGGCCTTCATGATAGCCCAATTTATGTTGGGCTTGTAGAAACCGAAACCCAGCAAGTTGATGCATTTTTTCATTAAAATGTCTTTTTTTCTCATTTTTTTACAATTCGATTTCTAGATTTAAATGATTTTTTTTTATTTCCAAATACTCCTCCACATTTAATTCTCTATTTTATTTTACTTTTAAAATATATAGATATATATTTTTATTAGGATACCATTATATGTATATTTATTTTATTTCATAGTTCTTATTTTTTATTATTTATTAAAGTAAAATTAAATTTTTTTTTGAATGTAATATTCCAAAATATACTTAAAGTTAAATGGTAAATTTCAATTAAATATTTTTAAATAAATAAACAGATGTTCATTTAATAATTTTTAAAAAAATTATTAAAACCCAACAATTAAATCTATTAACAAAAAAAATTCAACCAACTCAACCTAACCTAACATCCCGGGTATAAATGGCAAAAACATAAATAAAAAATGAGGCCAACCTATAAAATTTGCTAAAAGAAAGACGTCCAAATTTGGGATACACATGAATAATAATATATATTCAATCTCCTCATGAACGTATATGCTACCCATTGCTGCAAACTCTCACCATCTGAAACTACTTGCTTTTTCAATTGTAATGGAGAACTGTTGAAGGCTCATTTGTAGATACATGTATAAATAGATACATGTGTTGAAGGATTACTTGTACATGTATGAATATATATATGTAGGTTCATTCGTTTATAATCAATTAGGTACATTACTCTTGAATAATTAATGATATTGGGGAATGTCCCAAATTACCTATATATATGTACGTTGATGTAAAAAATCAATTAAGCCTTCCTTCATAGTTATACAAACTTCTTTTCTCTGAAAGAATTCTATCAAATTTCTCTACTGTCAACAACGGAACGCCATGGAAGACACAGACCCAAATGAAGTGTATTGCATGCTATGACATGTATGACAATGAGGAGTTTTCTAACGCACAACCTCTAAGTAATGATATGATTGATGTAATGCATGTTACCTAGGGTAATATGTGAAGAATGTATGAGTTGTACCACATAAATGTTTTAAGATGAAGAATATAGTATGTTCATTTACACGGAGATAGTTTTCCTTTTATGATGAGCACGAACACATACAATACAATAATGAGATGACCATCATGCTTGGCATGATGCATGACAATCCAGCAATAGCCAACTAGCCAGACAATGCATGCCTAAGGGTGTGCGAGCTAGGTGGGCATGTGGGTCATGTGTAGGAAAGTAATGCACATCTAATTTGTCTACATTGAAGCCACCTAAGTGACTATGAATTTAAATGATAGATCCCTATTCATGATTGCAACTAGTTGCATTCACTAACCCCAGAGGTGGGGTCACTGGGTTGTTTGCATTCCTTGACCCAGGGTCACTTATTTATTATTTCTTAAAATACATAAGTCATGTGCTACTCTCATATACCAGGTAAAGACAAGACATCCTTGTACGGTTGACGGCGGCATCACATTAAAGGTTATGGAACCTACATAGGGTAGTTGCATTTATTTTCGTAGATCTTGGGTTAGTATTCTTCTATGACACCATTTTATGAAGTCGGCTTTAAATGAATGTTTCCACATAAAGAATTTAGGTCATATGTATGGTAGCGACTCTAAGTCCCTAGAAAATTAGGATAATACTAATGATTTCCTCATATAATAATACTTGTCAACCCGTGCATAATTCAACCGATTAATTAAGATATATATTTTAATTTTTGAATTTATGTATTAAATTATGCTGATTGAGCATGAAACGAGTTCCTCTCTACAACAATAATGATCGACTATGTAGCTACTCACGACACTAGTTTTTCTTTATATGTGAGATTCCACATCGGTTAGAGAGGGGAACAAAATATTCCTTATAAGGGTATGAAATCTTTCCATAGTAGGCACGTTTTAAAACCGTGAGGTTGATGGCGATACGCTACAAGTCAAAGCGGACAATATCTGCCAGCGGTGAGCTTGTGGTGTTAAAAATGGTATCAGAGCCAAACATCCGGCGATATGTCAATGGGGACGCTAGGTCCCTAAAAGGGTAGATAAGTAGACACGTTTCTTAAACCGTGAGGGTGTAAAACATATTATAAAAATTATTTGAGTTTTTACCATGTAAAAAGGTTAAAAAAATTGGAGAAAGAAGTTGGAAAGCAAGTGGGTAGACTTTGTGGCCACCAACGACAAATCAAGCTGACTCAATTTTGTTTGTCCATATTATGCAATCCTTTTCTTTATAAATAAATAAATAAATTAATTATAGGTTTTTCTAATTTTAATTGGCCTATTTTTTTTATTAAAATTATTATTCATTATCCTAATGCATTACTTATATTTGTATGGTTGATGGGTAATTTTGTAATCTCACTTATCTTTTGTTCATCATTATTGTATAATCGAAATTTTTTCTTGGATTATTCGACAATAAAACCAGAAGCCCATTCTTTTATAACGAAGGCCCACCTCACGGCCCAGCATAGTTTTGGGCTGAACAAGTACATGCCTGAAAAGAACCAAACCGAGCCAGTTTCGACCTAGATGAACCCTTGTGTTTATCAATGAGGGGCAATGATACGAGCCATGGACTAGCAACCTGACCGGTTAGACGAACACGTATGATATTATCCACTTTGAGCACAAGGTCTCATGACTTTAATTTGGGTTTATCCAAAAGGTCTCAAACTAATGGAGAGAGTATTCTTTTATTATAAAGCCATGAGTTCTTTCTTAAATTAGCCAATAGCCAATGTGGACAATCCTCAACAAAACAATCATGGTACTTATGTCCAAAGCCAAACAACGAGAGCTTTATGTTCAAAGTGGATAATATCATACGATTGTGGAGAGTCGTGATTTGATTTCTAACATAGTATCAGAGCCATGCCCTAAACTTAGCCATGTTAATAAAATTCTCAAATGTCAAACAAAGTATTGTGAGCCTCGAAGGTATAGTCAAAAAGTGATTAATGTGTCGAACAAAGGGTGTACTTTGTTCGAAAACTCTAAAAGAGGAATCGAGCTTCGATTAAGGGGAGGTTGTTCGAGGGCTCCATAGGCCTCAGGGGAGCCTCTATAATATACTTTGTTCGAGAGGAGGATTGTTGGGAATTGTCCCACATTGATTAATTTCGGTAATGATCATGACTTTATAAGTAAGAAATACTATCTTCCGGTCTTCTTGAAAGCCTAAAGCAAAGTGATGAGAGCTTATGTTCAAATGGACAATATCTTAGAGAGTCGTGATGAAATTGGGAGTGAAAACCCCCGATTTTCGGGAGGAGTTTAATGTAGTCGGATGTGAGGGAACCACATATCAAGCTCCGACCCGAATTTATTAATTATTTTATTTTTATAATATATATTTAAGAAGTTAGGAATTGAGAGGCATTTGCAATTGCAATGGAAAATGCAACGGAAAACGAAGGCCCAAAACGACGCCTGATCTTCACCTACGGCACACTAAAAAGAGGCTTCCCAAATCACAACCTGACAAAGGATCTCATCGACAATAACGACGCCGTTTTCCTGGGCAACTATTCCACCCAATTTTCATTCCCTCTCATAATCGGACCTTATGGTGTTCCTTACCTCATCAATCTCCCCGGTTCCGGCCGCCGCGTCCGTGGCGAGGTGTACGCCGTCTCAGATCGTGGTCTCATCAGGCTCGACGAGTTGGAGGACACCGCCGTTGGCCACTACGACAGGCTGCCGGTTCTCGTCGTCGGCAACGACGGCGACACGGTGGGGATCGCGGCGGAGTGCTATTTCGCCGGAAGGGGAGTTTGGGAAGGGCTGTGGAGAGGGAAAGACGGAGAGGAACTGGCGGAGTATACGACACGGGAGGCATTGAAGTATGTGAGGAAGGACCAACGATCCAAGCGTCTTGCACGAATTTAGTTTGGGAGCATTGTGGTTGAATTGGAAAATTCGATGAATTTTCAAGGGTATTTTGGTAATTTAGTCTATTGGGCCGGATCTCACGTGAGCCCATATATCTAAACCTTTCGGAAAAGGCTAAAACTAAAAATAATAAATTAAATTACAAAAATAATAATTCTTTTTATTGAAATATGTATAATATAATATGTTATAAATTATATAATATTGTCTGATAGATAATAATTATTAATATAATATTTAGTTGAGAATTAAAAATATGATTTATAACTATATATCAAACCCTCTTTAAAACTAAAATATAATTTCTTAAAATTTCCTATTAAATACATATCTAAAAAAAGGAATACACGTTATTCAAACTAATACTCATTTGAATCGTGAGCACGGAATAAAGAATGAATAAAGAATATAAAAGCGTTTATTCAATCAATATTTGAAAGATGAGACATGAGAATAAGTATTTTTTTTATATCCGTATCTGACGGGCATTGGATTCCCTTTCTAAGGACTATCTAATTTCTTTTTCTTTATTTTTATTTAACTTTTTATTTTCCGATTTTAATAAATTTATAATCAAACATATTATATAAAATTTATGTAAATGCCATGTTTGTAAATTTATTTCAAACATAATAATAGGATCGTAAAACTGTATAGGTGAAAATAGAAAAAAAAAAGATATAATTTATCAAAATATCGAAAAAGATCTTATTGACGTGTCTTAAGATAAGGACTATGACTTAAATGCAGAAATCTAACCATTGTAACTTCGTTTCTACGACATTCTCGACATTCTCACCTAACATCGTCATCCTTACATGGGAGTCTTGCCATTACTTAGAAAAAATAGTAAACGTAGTTTGAATATTTAAAAATACTCTATAAGTAGCCTTATTGTGGAGTCGAAAATGCAATTGCATCCAATCATGGTTCATGGTGGAAGCTATCTTTTCATAACTATTCTTTAGCCTCTACCTTCTTTTTCCAGTAGGGTTGGATGTATAGTACGCATGAGCTAGTAGGGTGGACTTGTATATCCTAGGCTTTACTACGGGCTAATGCATGTTCACACTGCTAAAAACTAATAGAAAAAAAGGAATGCACATCGTATCACGGTGTATGTGCCCGTATAAAACATCCTGGAGAGGTGTCTCGTGCTTGTGACATATAACATGCATTAGGTACCATAATTTAAAATCATAATACATGGTTATGATGCACATCATACTTTCATTCATGTCTTTTCATGACAGAACTGTGTTAGGTTATAGAGCCTGCTGCTTATTTATAGCTTGGTGGAAGGTTATATCCGATAAAGCTATATATAGTAAATAACTATATACAGTAGATGGTTAAATCTGATAAAGCTATATATAGTAAACTGAACTATATATATATCTTGTACAGTAGAGTTTGAAAAATGTACTTTCTATTATCTGTATTCTCACATACTTGAAGTCATCAATACAAACTCCTTTAGCCTCCTTGCATTTTCTCTCTCCTATTCTTTGTGTTCATCTAGATCGAGTGTGTGCGTTGTTGTGCGACCCTAACAAGAACTCTTATATGAGATATGCATACACATATAAATGACATTTCTTTCACTTTTATTATACATGTCTCAACAATGTCTCATAGGCATAACATGAATATGGTATCATAACATACATGACATAACATACTAAAAATACATGCTATCACATAATACTCGTAACATTATAATCACAATCAACATCACATATTCATATTATAACATTAGAAAGTGGCATGTAAATGAGCTATAAGGTACGTGTCATTCATACATCATTCAAGTCATCCAACTAAGCAAGAAGATGTTCCAACATTAAGTCCACTTACCTTGTTGGCTATAGTAGAAATCATTAAATTTTTTAGTTGACCATGTATACCGTATTGATATACTTTACTATTGCTAGTAAGTAATCATGCTATGACGGTGGATGAGAGGTTTGAGTGTCTACGCTTCGAGAGTTGGATGGATGTTATCGTCCTGTTAAGCATGTGTGATCGTATGTGTCTACGGTTTGAGAGCTAGATGGATGTTATCGCCCCGTTAAGCATGTGTGATTGTATGCATGGTTAGTTGTACATTAGCTCTAGGTGAATGATTGTGTGATCCCTCCTTATAGAGAATGAACAGTAGGATCGACTTAAGTCTAGGGTGAGAACATGGCTAGGTCGGGACTAGAATGGAATGCCTCCAGATGTTTGAGCTCATTGGAATCGTGAGGGATGATCAGAGGGTGAGACCCTACTGCAAATGACCATCACAGACTTGGGGAGTCGGAATTGAGGAAACTGAAAATTTGAGTCCCTGTCAAAATTCCCAAATCACCTTGGAGACCTACTGGACCACCTCGGCATCTCTAGAAGATGAAGAAAGATTTCTAGGCGACAGTAGCCGATATGGCATCCAAAAAGCTTCCAGTTCCCTTCCCACTTTGCTGTGGTACCGTCAAATTAGACATGATGCTGGTTAGGGTCGTGTTACTCAGTGGTAGATCGATTACTCTACATGGTAGATCTGTCCTGTGGTAGGACATTGATTGTGCGGGTAGTTAATGGTTACCCTGCACGAAGGAACCATCCTATAGGAGAGCGTTGACCATGCAGGTAATCGATTGAGCTGACAGGAGAGCGTTGACCATGCAGGTAATCGATTGAGCTGACATGTACTGGGGGTAGTGCCCCTACGCCTTGAGCGAATTCATGGCCTGTGGGACGGGTTTGCCAGTTAACTCCCTCATCGATGATAAGCAGACAAGCACTCACCATGGTATCCCCGCCCGATGCAAAGTTATTTGAGATTGTGCCTCATCCTTAGAGATTGGATACTGCTACAAAAGCTAAGTCTTCTATACAGGCCTTGAGTAAGCTAGTAGTTCCTTGCTATATGTAAATACACATTTTGATTTTACTTTGATTGTATGCACATTGTTCGTAAAGTTTTAAACTCACCTAAAATTTTACGAGCTGTTTTTTTTTGTTCTCTGCCCTTTTATTCTTTATGCGTTGCATAGTTATTCGAGTCACTTCCAATTTTACATGCCTCAAAATTTAAGACATGACATCTTTCCTCTGCATTTGTCCATTCCTTGTGCTACATGTGTCACCTTTTTTTTTTTTTTTTCTAGCTATTCAATTTCTAGATTTTCAACTCGATTTAATGCGTTCCTAATTTCTTCCCGTTTTTTTGTATTCTGTAACTCAAATCAATTTAGTTCGTTAACTTTGAACAGAAATAAACATATTTCCAAATTATCAAAATTGTATAGTTTTAATCTAGCTTTCCAACAAAATTATTTTCATTTAATTTGGTTAACTTTGAAGAGAAATAAGCGAATGCAAAATCGATCCCTAAAAACTCACCGTTCTTGACGTTCACCAGAATTTCAACTTTCATTCCAATTCTATTTCAACTTCTTCACGAAAGTTGTGCAAAATTCCCTCAAGAACAACATGTCAAAATTTTCGAACATAATTTAAAGAAAATCTCTCGAATCCGAAGAAAAACCAGAACTAAAATCTAAAAAATCTTACCTCCCGCTCTTCCTCTATTCTTGATGGTTTTAGACGATCCAAAAGTCCATACCTATTCTCCGCAACTAAGAGTTTTAAGTAAAAAAGCAAAATTGTGGAAATTTTAGTGTATATCGTATGTATACGTCAGTATGATGTTAGAAGAGGAAATAAAAAATAAAATATATTTTCTACAAAAAAATAAATAAAGTTCCACTAACCAAGCAGCACCACATGCGCGCACATCCCATCTATTCACACCATAGAGTACATAATGACAAATAATACATTATATTGCATCCACGAAATTCATTTTTAAAAATTAAAAATTTCGATCACTAAAAACTTTAACGATTATATATTTTCAAGTGAGTACACCCTTATTCTTCATTGGACGGTTTCGATGGACTTCACAGTTTCTTCCCAACTAAAATTGAAAAGACTGTCTCAGATCGAGATGTCGATTCGCTTCCACTCCAAATGAGATGTGAAATTGATAATTCCCTATTTCAACCTTTCCGCCCTTCGTCTTTTTTAATCGAGGCTCGACTCTCGTCATTCCAACAACTACCTCAGTTTACGTCCAGGTGCAGTAACTGGAAATCGTGTTACACTTAAGGACAATTTCAACTCACCAAACCAAGATTCATCTCATGTCGTGATTATGGACTTACACAAAGATTTGAATAGTTATTCGCATGTATTAGGTAATATATATATATATATATAAATTATTGTAATTTGTTTTTGACATTTTCTAGAAGCACTTTAAAATTATTTTAAATATTGTATTTTTAAATGAGGAAAAGTGCTTTTTGACTTGAAATGCTTTTGTCGTTTCTAAAATGACCTAAAAAACATTACAAGAAAAAGAAAAAGGTCTTTTAAGTTTGGTTTTTTAAATAATAATGATAAAATCCGCGAGAACTTTATCAAATAAATCAACTATTTCAAAAGATTTTAAAACTATGATCATGTGTTTATGAGTAAGGAATACATTTTCATTGGTATGAAGCCTTTTGGGAAGTTCAAAGCAAAATCATGAGAGCTTATGCTCGAAGCGGACAATATCATACCATTATAAAGAGTCGTTATTCCTAACATGGTATTAGAGCTATGCCCTTAACTTAGCCATGTTCATAGAATACTCAATTGTAGAACAAAGAAGTTGTGAGTCTCGAAGGTGTAGTCAAAAGTGATTCAAGTGTCGAAAAAACAGTGTACTTTGTTTGAGAACTCCAGAAAAGGATTCGAGCCTTGATCAAGGGAGATGCTGTTCGAGGGGAGGATTGTTGAACTTAGCCATGTTGAACAAAGAAGTTTTGAGCCTCGAAGCAAGTGTCGAACAAAGGGTGTAGTTTGTTCGAAGACTCCAGAGAAGGAGTCAAGCCTTGATTAAGTGGAAAAACCCAAAACAAAACCATGGGAAAGTAGACAATATAAATATAAATACCATGGAGATTCGTTATTCCTAAAAACAAAAAGTGTTATCTTAAAAATATTACTCACTCTCGCTTTTAAGTGGAAGACTATCTTCAAGTTCTATTCTCAGAATTGCTCTCGTTCA